AATGTTTCTGGGGCATAAAGGTCTCGGGTGTCCTGTTGCTTTGTCTCAACATGCCCTCGTCTTCACTGTTTGTCCATGCGATATGTATAACAGTAACTTGGTTACTAACTGCCCGCTTTGTGTTCTGTAAACAGAGACTGACTCAACATTGGCTTTGCCTTTGACCTCCAGAAGCTCAACTCTGCAGGTCTCCGTGAACGCCACTGATTCACAGCCTGTAATGAAGAAACAGGCTTATAGCTGTAATCCCGACCCTCGCTCCAGCGGACATCTGCTAATGACCGTCAACACGAGCCGCTTCTGCTGCTCAGATCCATAGACGAACACTAACCCGACGAGACTACACACACACACACACACACTCATTGAGCTTTACAAGCGCTGCTTCATTATGGGAGTTTATAATGTGAATAGTCTCGGTAAAGGGTCATTCCACCTCTGGAAAGATGAATGTGTATTTAAAATGGGTAATTTATGTAGAAGAAATGTGAAACTGTTTTTGAATTTAGAGCTTTCTAGACTGAGAAAAGCCAGAAAATGTATTTCTGGTTATGTGGATGAAAGACAACAACTCCCAGAATGCACTTGCTTCGCTGCCCTAGGAGGCCACGCCTACCGGTAAACGCGCAGTAGGTAAACAACAAGTTTAGAGTAGTGAGTCTCCGTGATGAGTCTGCCTGAAAATGCATTTCGAGATCGCCCCAAAGTGTCCGGGATTGGACTTTTGCGTTCTACAGTCGCCATTCACCATGTTTACTGTGGCGAGCGGGACGAGTGAGGGCCGTGTGGAGAACGAGGCGAGTCGTGTTTACTGTGGTGAGCCGGACGAGTGAGAGCCGTGTGGAGAACGAGGCGAGGCCGGTGGCGTGATTACCGATGAACTTCACTTGAGACGTAAGTTACAGGTCTCGTATCTCTCACGGAGGAGCGGGAATTTTCTTAGCAATGTTAAAACCCACATCAACCGATCACTTGTTTAGCGTTCATGTAAACACTGATTCAGCAATCAGAATGAATTCAGTTAGATTGACACAAAAGCTGTAACTTATATGTAAACAATTCATGGCGACTGCAGAAAGAAAAAGCTGAATCCCGGACATCGACGGCCGGACATATCCGGGAAAGAGGATGGTAACACCTAAGGCCACGTTTACACAAAGCCGGGTATTCAGCAAAACGAATATTTTCCCAAAAAAATAACATCGTTCACACACCCGCATAAATACGCCGCCGAGCGCCATCATAACTATGCCAAGCCTATTGGCGGCAGTGTAGGGGTTCAGGATAAAGCCATGCAAGCCAATCAGAATCCTCAGAATCGACAAGAGGGATCCTAAAACGCTGTTTCTCCCAGTTCACACGACAAGACATAACCGCCGTTTTCAGAAATCTCCACTTTGGCCGGAGTTTGTAGAAATAATCGTTTTCTGTGATAAAAACGGGGTTTTCGTGTAAACGAGAGGCCAATCCGCAGGGAAATATCTGCGTTTTCCCTTCGTGTAAACGGGGCCTTGCAGAACAAGAGCCTGCTAGCTTAGCTTAGCTTCCAAAAAAGATATGTAATCCCAGTCCTCCATAATGCATCTGTCTGCGTATTCAGTACCTTCGTCCATATTTTCAAAACATTTCTGCGGTGAAATCAGACGCACTGGCACTGATCTGTGATTGGTCTGTTAGCGCATTAGGTCCAACCCCCTATGGGCGGGTTTGAAAGGGTGGGAACTAGTGCTTGTAGTCTTTAGAGAAAGTCTGACCCCATTGACACAAAGGCCAGAGGTCAAACAATCCTTCATGACACTGAGTGCTGCTAGAGAGGATGAGTGTGTGTGTCTAATGCCGGATCATGTATGTAGGTTACAGAAGTTTCACCGGATCCCACTGAAACCAGAGCACCAGCTTCATGCATAATTAATGAGCCCCCCTCCCCCCACATACACACCACCACCAGGTGACCTACAGCTGTGACACAATTTACATACTGCCCCGCCCACTTTCATAATCCAGCTGACAATGCAAGGAGAAAACACACTTTCATCAAGCTGCTCTCTCGCTGTGTAAAGATTCTCGATGCAGTTCAATAAACATAAAAACATAATCCTAATAAGTATTAGTTCTGTTGTTTTGAGTTTTTTCCCATGTTTTAACTGGAAAACAAAAGCGACTAAAGCTGATCTGGGTCATTGAGATCACCGTCTCACACACACACACCATGTTTGAGTGAATCTTAATGAAGGCTTTTAACAAACCGAGAGCCTGAAACACTGGAGCGAGCGACACACACCAACAGACGAGCTCTAAACGGATTAAAGGAATTATTCACCCAGAAATGAGGATTCAGGCATTATTTATTCGCCCTCATGTCGTTCCAAACATATGCTGAGGAACAGGGAGTGTGTGTGTGTGTGTGTGTGTGTGTGAGGGCATTGCGATATTCCTTGTGTGTTGTGTGGAGAGAGAGGCTTTCCATGTGAGTAAACGGAGACAGAATTCGACACGTGTGTGTGTGTGTGTGTGTGTGTGTGTGTGTGTGTGTGTGATGAGGACAGAACACTAGTGCTTCACTGCTGCCCCCTGCTGTCCTCCACTACACACACACAGATGATTTTCATCATTATTACATCAGATTCTGTCATGATCCTCCAACTAATGTCATTTCAGGCCAAACTCTTAATCCTGCACACTAAGGCCATTGTTTTATATCACACGCTTTTTTTTTTAAATGTTTGTTTAAATATGCAAATGAGGCACTATTTAATTATGCAGTAATTTGCATACACTTCCAGAACAGAAATCTGAGCTTTGGATAAAACAGGTTCAAAACTCTTGTTTGAGTTTGTCGACGTATTTTTGCAGATTTTTCTTTTTATCTCTCCATAAATCAGAAGATACTGTCAACATTTCACAAGCAGGAGTAAAATGTTGCATGAATCAGGCAAACAATATAAAAGTGCAAAGATTAAAAGTGATTAATCGCATCTAAAATAAAAGTTTGTGTCTACGTAATATATGTGTGTGTGTGTGTGTACTGTGTATAATTATTTTGTATGATAAATACACACACATGCATGTATATTTTTAAGATTTTTTATATGCATTTTGTATATATACACTACAGTATATACATGCATATATTTCTTAAAGATATAGCATCATATGTGTGCATTTATAAATACAGAATAATTATACACACACACACATTATGTAAACACAAACCTTTATTTTTGATGCGATACTGACCTCAGTCCTGCTGGAGATGAAGCAAAACGTACAATTTTATTTTCCTATAATATTGAGTCAGGAGCAGAATATGTTTCATGAGTGTGTGACCTACTTTAGCAGAACACACACACACACACACACACACACACACACACAGAACTGTCACAGAGACGCATCCTCACAGCGTCTGATAGTCAATGTCAGCCGCTGGATTATTCATGTCAATGTGAAGTGTGTGTGTGTGTGTGTGTGTGTCTGTCTCATTCAGTTGTTCACTCATTTCCTCTCTGTCAAAGCCTCACACATCTAAATATTAAATATCATCTGACACACACATTGTCGGCGATATCAATTATTAACTGAGACAGAAGTTGACCAGAGGTCCGATCAGGACTTCAGTGATGTCATCTGCCTTTAATATGCGGAATATCATTTATTAATGTTCACTGTTGCCACGGGATCGACACAGAAGATGCAAAAACACACTGTTTCAAAGAGTGAATAATGCTGATGAAATATGATCAATAATCGATAACAGCACATTTGATCATTTGCCCGGTTAACTTTCTCATATCTCTCAACGACATATTTTAATGTTACGCAACTATTAGGACAAACCATTCTTATAACATCATCAATATTTGATCTCTGTTCTCATAATGTTGAGAGATGATGTGTGTTTAAAAACATTGAGAGAACATTCAAATGCAACATTCTCTGTAAGTTTTTATACGTTTTTATTTGCTCTGTCATTGTGCATGCCAGAAGAAAACTGATTATCGAATAAATATCAAAATATAGAGCATGCAACAAAAATTAAAAATAAATAAATAAATAATCAAATCTATAGTCAGTTCTTCAGCTCAAACACACACACACACACACACTTACACGGGTCTGGAGGACATCATGTGTGTTTGTTGGATGAGAGTTTAATGTTTAGCTGCAGTAAATCTTTATGACCTCTAATGAAATCACAACTCTTCGTCTGCTGTGAACTTCTTCAGCGGTTTGAGGTTAAAGATGCTGTTGTCAAAGACGGAGTGTGTGTGTGTGTGTGTGTGTGTGTGTGTGTGTGTGTGAATAATGTGACCCTCTCAGAGACTCATGGGAATGTAAAAGGGCATTAAAGCGGCTCTGATGACATCATTGAAGTGCTGATCTGGAGTCACGCCAGTCTGATCACATGACACACACTCAGCACAATCACACACACACACACACACACACACACACACACACACACACAGAGTGAGTGTGTGGTTCTAAATGTTCTAAGAAAAACATTCATTTTTTTAACTGTTCATCAGTCATTCTTCAAACATTTTGGAAACGTCACTTTAAATATTCTCTGAAAGTTCTGAAAGGAGTAGTCGGCTAACATTTAAAAGCGTTAGATGAACGTCCAACTCAGACGGGTTAAAAACGCTCCAGAAACGATATTTAGATATAAATATTTTTTTTTGTTCTAACGTTTTGAGAGCATTATTAAAGACCAGAAAACTTAGCATGAACGTTACAGGGGAAACGTTTGATAATAACGCTGAAAACCTGGCCAGAATGTTCCCTTTGCTAGATTTGATAATGTAGGTCGTATTTCTACTTTGATTTAGCCTATATTTATAAATATAGTTATATTCTAATTTATGTTATAAAGATGTAATGTTGGAACGTGTTAAAAATTCCGTGTACATAGTAGTGTTTTTGTATTCGAATGAGACACGTGACTCCATGTGCTGAGTCAGAAAGCAACTACATGTCCCACAATGCAGTGCGCGCGACTTCCTGCCCCGCGCCGCAGAGTCACCGTACACAAACACCACCAAATCACTGTGTGTCTCCACTATCTCTCACAATGAGAGGAACACGCATTATTGTTGAACTTGAGCATAAATGAAACCCGTTTCTGAGGTAAGACGCGTGCGACTTTATTGATTATTTCTTATTGCAGATGTTCGCCTGCTGTCATGCTAATGCTAGGCGGCTAATAACATCAACAGTTTCCAAAGAAAATCGCCAGACGTGCTTCAATCATGATATGTATGACACGAATGATTGAAACTGTTAAGAATCGTGACATTTAGATGTTTGTAACGGATTGTCATGTCCCGGTTAAAGCTGTCAGTGTGATGTTAGCACGGCTAGCGGAGGAGCTCTGGCGCTGACTGGATCTTTTGAGTGAAAAGCACACAGCTTGATTTCGGTAAACTCTCAGATGATTAAAGATGATATACATATATCTGCTACTGGATCAGAACCTAATCATTAGATAGTTCAAACGTTTAAAAAAGTTAAAAGCTCGTCGGTCATGCCTGGCATCACGTGATCGAGCCTCGCGCACTGACACATCACGCATGATCTCGCGCCGAACGAACCTGTTCTCTAGCAAATACAGTTGCAGGATGTTATTTCATTATTTTGTACACACTGGTATTTATTTACATCTGTTGTAAGATTTTCATTTTGTATATGGTTTAACAAAAGTTATTAATATAGAATTGCAGAAAACATTAAGAGTAAACGTAGATATAATTTGAGATAAATGTGACTAATGATTAAAATATTACTTGTAATGTTTTCAGGTAGGACACCACAGAATGACGACCTAAACGTTTTCTTTAATTCAAACATCATGGGGATGATTAATTTTCAATGTTTTCTGAACGTCACGAAACAAATAGCAACGTTAAAAAACGCTAAAACGTTTCATGAATGATTTATAAATAATGTTTTGTTCTAGCGCATTATTAAAGACCGGATAACTTTGAACAAACGCTCTATTAATGTTCCTGGAAGAACGATTGATCCTAACTTTGACAGAACGTTCCTCTTGACTAGATTTGACTAATGTAGGTCGCATTTACTTTGATGAGTACTATTTTATAAATATATATTTTAGCCTACTTATATTTACATTGTTAAATGTTGAATATAAAGTCAGGATATAAACTGTCAGAGAGTGAAAGCATAAAGCTTCTGAAGTGGAGATTTGTGACTTAAAAATATGCATTGAAATTGAATCTACAGACACGAATAGATAAAGTGAAATAAAGACATAAATCTGTATTCAGAGGATTAAAACTGAAACTGGTTTAGCCTGGAGTGTCTCGTGAAGGAACTGTTTATAACAAACGATTCGATAATTAACAGAAACAGTGGCTTAAACATTAATGTAATGGACATCGTCAGCGGTTCCTCCGCTCTAGAGTCCGCTCGGGAAATCTCTGGTTTGATATATGTTGTAGTGTGATGTAATGAGGGTGAGACTGGACAAGTGTGTGTGTGTGTGTGTTTTGCTCCAGGGGTTCGTGCTGAAACGCAAGTGCCGAGAACATGAACCTCCACCAGGTGCTCACAGGCGCCGTCAACCCTGGAGAAAACTGCTACTCTGTGGGCAACGTCAACAACCAGCCGTTCACGGTAAACACCTGTGTGTGTGTGTGTGTGTGTGTGTGTGTGTGTGAGTGATGACCTCATGTTTCATCATGCTTCCTGTTACAGGCGTACGCCTCCGGATGTGACATCGTGATTCTGGGCAGCGACTTTGAACGAGTCCAGATCATCCCAGGAGCCCAACATGGGAACATTCAGGTGGGGTGTGTGGACTGCTCTCTGCAGGGGGGACAGGTGAGACACACACACACACACACACACACACACACTCATAACAACCTCAAGGTCACTGGCTCGATTCCAGAGGAGATTTCATTGAACTGATGAAAACCATATAGCTTGAATTCAATGCAAATATTGTCTGTCATTATAGTGTTTTGCTCTAATTATGTTGATCTTATATACTATCATAAACGATATATACTATGATAAATACTATAGCAAATCTCATCTGCTTGATTGTCATAATGTAACAATATTATCATCCAGCTCTAATATGATAGATGCAAATATCCTTACAATGATATACAGATATTATAAATATTAACGGCATGATTTTCTGTAAAGCTGCTTTTTTTTAAATAATGTGTTTTGTGAAAAGTGCTATATGAATGAGTTTGACTTGACTTGAACACTGTACATCAGTTTTGGGCTGCTTTATTATAGATAACAGGCCAGTGTATTATTCTTATATTGTAATCAAATGCTGTGCTGATTGCTTTAATAACTCAACGAGGGATTGATCAAGTGTTTTTCCTCTGGCTTCTGAAATGCAATATTTGAAACATGCATTTTCTGAAGTGAATGAACTGAGGAGTTTCCCGATCCTGTCAACCCGACGGCGTTTACATGCCAGACACGTGTTGGTCTCTAAACTCTAAACGAAGAGCTTCCCTTAATTAAAGCCATCCAGCCGTGTTGTGCTCGCGTTACCGCTCATTGTTCGGTGGAATGCGCGAGCGTGGGAACGTTCCTGAAGGAGGGAAGCGCTACAGACGCCGATTGAGTCGGTCGAAGCGATGGAGAGCGTTTGAAGGGATCAGTGAAAGGCTTTAACACTCGACGAGTAACAGGATTTCTACTGTGCCAACTTTCTAAATCTGCTCTGCTTTCAGATCGCGGCTTCATACGGAAACATGATCTGTGTGTTTGAGCCGGTGGAGGTCAGTCCGCAAGGGAAAGCACAGAAAGTGAGTTTCTTCTGGACTAAACCTGCTCGGTTTTTGAAGGTGTTCAATGTGAATGAAATTCCTGAAAATAGCTTGAATAGTTGAGCATGGCGCTTGCAACACCAAGATTATGGGTTCGATTCCCAGGGAATGCATGAACTGATGATCTAATACACTGGAGCAGAGAAGGAATAATTATCTGAAAGAGTCTCTTCTGCTCACAGAAGCTGCGTTTATTTGATCATAAATACAGTAAAACAGTGAAATATTATTCTAATGTGAATCATCTGTTCTCTATGTGAATATACAGTAAAGTGTAATTTATTCCTGTGATTTTCAGCATCATTACTCCAGTCTTTAGTGTCACATGATCCTTCAGAAATCACTCTAATATGAGGATCTGATGATCAACACACAGTTATGATTATTATCAGTGTTGAAAGCAGTTTGTGGAAACTGTTACACATTTTATTCTTCTGGATTCTCTGATGAAATGAACAGCATTTATTTAAAACAAATCTTTTGTAACATTTTTAATGTCTTTACTGCCACTTTTGATCAATTTTATGTGTACTTGGGTACTAAAAAATTTATTTTCCAGATCTTGCTGACCCTAATCTTATGAACAGTTGATTTATCACGGTTTCCACAAAAATATGAAATTAAACATTTAACTTTATTTCTGATCAATTAAATGCAGCCTTTGTTTTCTTTCAAAAACAAACAAATCGTATTTATTCCAAACGTTTGACGCCCAGTGCACACCTTGACATTAATGTAGGTGACGTACCATGTGATGTTTGGTGTGGTTCTGTTCAGCAGAAGCTGAATTATCATTGGCAGAAGAGCGGGCAGTTCGCCCTGCAGTCCGTCGCACAGATCCTGGCGTGGCACCCGAACGGTACGTGAGATCAGCGCTGTTCTCTAACGCTGTTCTCTAACGCTGTTCTCTAACGCTGTTCTCTAACGCTGTTCTCTAACGCTGTTCTCTAACGCTGTTCTCTAACGCTGTTCTCTAACGCTGTTCTCTAACGCTGTTCTCTAACGCTGTTCTCTAACGCTGTTCTCTAACGCTGTTCTCTTCTCTAATGCTGTTCTCTAACGCTGTTCTCTAACGCTGTTCTCTAACGCTGTTCTCTAACGCTGTTCTGTAACGCTGTTCTCTAACGCTGTTCTCTAACGCTGTTCTGTAACGCTGTTCTCTAACGCTGTTCTCTTCTCTAATGCTGTTCTCTAACGCTGTTCTCTAACGCTGTTCTCTAACGCTGTTCTCTAACGCTGTTCTCTTCTCTAATGCTGTTCTCTAACGCTGTTCTCTAACGCTGTTCTCTAACGCTGTTCTCTAACGCTGTTCTCTTCTCTAATGCTGTTCTCTAACGCTGTTCTCTTCTCTAATGCTGTTCTCTAACGCTGTTCTCTAACGCTGTTCTCTAACGCTGTTCTCTAACGCTTTTCTCTAACGCTGTTCTGTAACGCTGTTCTCTAACGCTGTTCTCTAACGCTGTTCTCTAACGCTGTTCTCTAACGCTGTTCTCTAACGCTGTTCTCTAACGCTGTTCTCTTCTCTAATGCTGTTCTCTAACGCTGTTCTCTAACGCTGTTCTCTAACGCTGTTCTCTAACGCTGTTCTCTAACGCTGTTCTCTAACGCTGTTCTCTTCTCTAACGCTGTTCTGTAACGCTGTTCTCTAACGCTGTTCTCTAACGCTGTTCTCTAACGCTGTTCTCTTCTCTAACGCTGTGTTCTGTAACGCTGTTCTCTAACGCTGTGTTCTGTAACGCTGTTCTCTAATGCTGTTCTCTAATGCTGTTCTCTAACGCTGTTCTCTAACGCTGTTCTCTAACGCTGTTCTGTAACGCTGTTCTCTAACGCTGTTCACTAACGCTGTTCTCTAACGCTGTTCTCTAACGCTGTTCTCTAACGCTGTTCTCTAACGCTGTTCTGTAACGCTGTTCTGTAACGCTGTTCTCTAACGCTGTTCTCTAACGCTGTTCTCTAACGCTGTTCTCTAACGCTGTTCTGTAACGCTGTTCTGTAACGCTGTTCTGTAACGCTGTTCTCTAACGCTGTTCTCTTCTCTAACGCTATGTTCTGTAACGCTGTTCTCTAATGCTGTTCTCTAACGCTGTTCTGTAACGCTGTTCTCTAACGCTGTTCTCTTCTCTAACGCTGTTCTCTAACGCTGTTCTCTAACGCTGTTCTCTAACGCTGTTCTCTTCTCTAACGCTGTTCTCTAACGCTGTTCTCTAACGCTGTTCTCTAACGCTGTTCTCTTCTCTAACGCTGTTCTCTAACGCTGTTCTCTAACGCTGTTCTGTAACGCTGTTCTCTAACGCTGTTCTCTAACGCTGTTCTCTAACGCTGTTCTGTAACGCTGTTCTCTAACGCTGTTCTCTTCTCTAACGCTGTTCTCTAACGCTGTTCTCTAACGCTGTTCTCTAACGCTGTTCTCTAACGCTGTTCTCTTCTCTAACGCTGTTCTGTAACGCTGTTCTGTAACGCTGTTCTCTAACGCTGTTCTCTAACGCTGTTCTGTAACGCTGTTCTCTAACGCTGTTCTCTAACGCTGTTCTGTAACGCTGTTCTCTAACGCTGTTCTCTAACGCTGTTCTGTAACGCTGTTCTCTAACGCTGTTCTCTTCTCTAACGCTATGTTCTGTAACGCTGTTCTCTAACGCTGTGTTCTGTAACGCTGTTCTCTAATGCTGTTCTCTAACGCTGTTCTCTAACGCTGTTCTGTAACGCTGTTCTCTAACGCTGTTCTCTTCTCTAACGCTGTTCTCTAACGCTGTTCTCTAACGCTGTTCTCTAACGCTGTTCTCTTCTCTAACGCTGTTCTCTAACGCTGTTCTCTAACGCTGTTCTCTTCTCTAACGCTGTTCTCTAACGCTGTTCTCTAACGCTGTTCTGTAACGCTGTTCTCTAACGCTGTTCTCTAACGCTGTTCTCTAACGCTGTTCTGTAACGCTGTTCTCTAACGCTGTTCTCTTCTCTAACGCTGTTCTCTAACGCTGTTCTCTAACGCTGTTCTCTCTCTAACGCTGTTCTCTAACGCTGTTCTCTAACGCTGTTCTCTAACGCTGTTCTCTAACGCTGTTCTCTAACGCTGTTCTCTAACGCTGTTCTGTAACGCTGTTCTCTAACGCTGTTCTCTAACGCTGTTCTCTTCTCTAACGCTGTTCTCTAACGCTGTTCTCTAACGCTGTTCTCTAACGCTGTTCTCTAACGCTGTTCTCTAACGCTGTTCTCTAACGCTGTTCTCTAACGCTGTTCTCTTCTCTAACGCTGTTCTCTAACGCTGTTCTGTAACGCTGTTCTCTAACGCTGTTCTCTAACGCTGTTCTCTAACGCTGTTCTGTAACGCTGTTCTCTATCGCTGTTCTCTAACGCTGTTCTCTAACGCTGTTCTCTAACGCTGTTCTGTAACGCTGTTCTGTAACGCTGTTCTGTAACGCTGTTCTGTAACGCTGTTCTGTAACGCTGTTCTGTAACGCTGTTCTCTAACGCTGTTCTCTAACGCTGTTCTCTAACGCTGTTCTCTTCTCTAACGCTGTTCTCTAACGCTGTTCTCTAACGCTGTTCTGTAACGCTGTTCTCTAACGCTGTTCTGTAACGCTGTTCTCTAACGCTGTTCTCTAACGCTGTTCTCTAACGCTGTTCTCTAACGCTGTTCTCTAACGCTGTTCTCTAACGCTGTTCTCTAACGCTGTTCTGTAACGCTGTTCTGTAACGCTGTTCTCTAACGCTGTTCTCTAACGCTGTTCTCTAACGCTGTTCTCTTCTCTAACGCTGTGTTTTGTAACGCTGTTCTCTAACGCTGTTCTCTAACGCTGTTCTCTAACGCTGTTCTGTAACGCTGTTCTCTAACGCTGTTCTCTAACGCTGTTCTGTAACGCTGTTCTCTATCGCTGTTCTCTAACGCTGTTCTCTAACGCTGTTCTCTAACGCTGTTCTGTAACGCTGTTCTCTTCAGGTTCGTGTCTCCTGACGGGCTCGGCGAGTCTTCAGCTGTGGTGTGACGTGTGTGTCAGTGCAGATCCTGAAGATGAGGCCGTGGGTCCTCAGCGCTGCTGGAGAAGCATATGGCAAAGCAAGTCAGTGTTCGTCCTTCACGTCCTTCACATCACTCTGAGTTTCTCTGAATGCACTCTAACCGCTCCAGTAAAATCTCTCTGGATGTTACAGGTCCGCCGCCTCGACTCACTTCATCAAGTTTTCCCCTGACGGAGAGTTTTTTGCGACCGCAGGACAGGTTTGTGCTTGAACATGTGTGATATGTGCACTTAATGATTTTTCACGATTTTCTAAAATCGTTTGACAGCTTTGTGTTCGCTATTCACTCACAATCTTGTCATCCTTGATTTTAATACGCCGTCTGTTTATTTACAACAAGAAACATCCATTTCATATCCGTTCAGTCGTGAGTGTGTGTTGTTTCAGGACGACTGCTTGGTGAAAGTGTGGTACAGCACCAGCAAATGGCAGGCAGACGCCACGAAGCTCTTCACCCCGCTCGACCTGCGCTCCGAGATCAACTTCTCCTTCATTTACCTGGCTCACCCTCGCTCCGTCACCGGCTTCTCCTGGAGGAAGACCAGCAAACACATGCCCAGGTGAGTCCAGCCTGCAGACGCCTTACGCCATTCAACTTAATGTTTCATTTAATATTCAGCAATATTGTTGATCTGCCTGCATTGACACTATTATACAGAACTGAACTGTGTTTGTTGTTCCGGCGCGACGTCGCAGAAAAATAGAAACCATGTATAAAATAGATTCGTCACGTGTTGCGGCTGGTTAGGACACGGTGTGACGCTCTCTCTGAACGCCCGTGTGTGTGTGTGTGTTCCTCCAGAGGAGTGGTGTGTAACGTGCTGCTGACCTGCTGCAAGGACAGTGTGTGTCGACTGTGGGCCGAAACGCTCCTGCCCAGCGACTGCCTGCTGTCCGGACTCAGACACAACCAGTGCAACAACGACAAGACCAACAACATGAAGAAGTCGTCCAGCAGCACCCTGAGCCAGAGCCCGATGGAGGTGAGGGGGCAGAGAGTTAAAGTCTAACAGTGTAGAATATAGTTTCATCTTTGTTAAAGCTGTATTATGTTTTATTAATATTAATGACGGACGACAGTGGGAATATTAGTCTGCCGTCACTGTAAGACCGAATAAACTGAGTGAGTCTCGATTTTTCAATCTTCTGCGTTTAAAAGTGTGTGAATGTGTAAATTGTTAAGACAAAACAGATCCATATGATAAACTTTCCCTCTTGGTTGAATCGATCTGCTAATCGCATGCGCGGTGAGCCGTGGGATCCGTCGCCCCCTAGTGTTCACTGATGAAGGACTCTCTGTCCACAGCTGAACCTGAAGCCGTCGTGGAGAGAGGAGGTGAGGAGTTTATCTCAGCTCTCGTACACCGGCCCTCTTCCACAGCAGCAGAACAAACACTACTCACACCGTGCCAACATCACGCACGCCAACGCCCTGTGCCACTTCCACATCGCTGCCAGCATCAACCCAGCCACAGGTAACATGACCTCAGTGATGCTGACCGACACCCACATGACCTCAGCGATGCTGACCGACACCCACATGACCTCAGTGATGCTGACCGACACCCACATGACCTCAGCGATGCTGACCGACACCCACATGACCTCAGCGATGCTGACCGACACCCACATGACCTCAGCGATGCTGACCGACACCCACATGACCTCAGCGATGCTGACCGACACCCACATGACCTCAGCGATGCTGACCGACACCCACATGACCTCAGCGATGCTGACCGACACCCACATGACCTCAGCGATGCTGACCGACACCCACATGACCTCAGCGATGCTGACCGACACCCACATGACCTCACATGACCTCAGCGATGCTGACCGACACCCACATGACCTCAGCGATGCTCTCGGCATCTCTCTCTGTTTCAAACCTGTTGTGGAAACACGAGACCCACCGCCCTGTGTAATGTGTGTGTGTGTGTGTGTGTGCAGACATCCCTCTGCTGCCCTCCATCTCGGCCATGAGCGGCGCGGATGAGGAGGAACCGGGCGGCTCCTTCACCGTCCACTGGCTCAACAACAAGGAGCTGCACCTGACGCTGAGCATGGAGGTGTTCCTGCAGCAGCTGCGGAGCCGAGACGAGCAGAGCGGCCCCGCTGACACACACGGTACCGTGCCAGAATATGTGAAAATGTGACGCCTCCTTGATGCTTTGTCGACTCCATGCTCGTACTCATGCTGTTCAATTGTCAAAATCAGCATAGATGTAAAAAAAGTCAAATTTTAATATTTGAACAAAAATGAAACTAAATGCTCTTATCAAATGTGTACAGTACATACAGTGGGACTGCAGACTCTAAATATTGACATTAACATTAGCAATGCTGTAGAAGTGCACTTTACTAACAGTAAATGTTAACTAATCTAATTAAGTTAACGATTTTTATACAGCGATTCAGAGGTCTCGAGAGTTCAGTGTTGGGCAGGTCAGGTGTTTTAACGATTCATTAAGGTGAAAGGTTAAAATGAGTCATATCGGACGTGTCATTAGTGGACGTCTGAGTGATTATCTCGGCAGTTTAGGACATCGCACAAGATTTGCGTCTGTTCATATAGGTTTTTTCGTTAATTGAAACGAAAAAAAAAAAACAGTGTTACTCATCTTGCGAAATTAACGAATTACGCTGCAAAATAAAAAGTGGAAAGAGATAGCAAGTGAATTCAGGCCTGTGTCATGCTGCACATTTGCACTTTTTGAGAAAAACAATGGCACAATAAAAAAAGATTTTCAGGTCTATGTCCAATTAAATCACTCACCCTTTTCCAGTTATTGGGTTAAAATACATATTTTGTCTGTTATTTGACTAAGGTGTACTAAAATGTGATTCCAAATTTTCTTTCTCATATCGCAATATAATACTGATATCGTTCGGACAGTGAAAAATATCTTGATATGAATTTTTGCTCATATCGCCCACCCCTAGTGTGTGTGTGTGTGTGTGTGTGTGTGTGTGTGTGTTCAAAGGCAAGGAAACCTGAAAGAGGAATCAGTTCTGTGTTCAAGCCTCTCTCTCTCTCTCTCTCTCTCTCAAGAAAAAACATGTCTAAATGATGAACTTGCACTCTATGATGGCTAAATTTACTGTCATATGAGATTTAGGTCACTCTAGAGCACTAGATGTTCATAAATATTGCGTGGGTAATAAAGCTGTGGTGTGTGACATGTCAAGTCAAGTCAAGTCACATTTATTTATATAGCGCTTTTCACAATACAGATTGTATCAAAGCAGCTTCACAGTGATAACATGTAAGTAGCACAACACAGATCAACAACATTGCTAAACACTAAATAAATAACCCCAACTGAGCAAGCTCAAAGCAAGCCAAAAGCAAGGCGACAGTGGCAAGGAACCAAACTCCATCAGATTGGATGGAGAAAAAACCTTGGGAGAACCCAGGCTCAGTCGGGGGCCAGTTCTCCTCTGGCTTACATTCATATTGTTTAAATATAAATATTAAATATAAATATTGTTTATGAATCAAACGGCGTCATAACATATCGCAGGTGTTGAGTCGTCTCATCACAGGCGTTGAGTCGTCTCATCACAGGCGTTGGGGCATCCGAAATCCCCGTGAGAGGCTGGACACAAAACTGGACCTGACGAACGCCATTTTTCTCGGGACAAGCGTCCCGAGATAACAGCAGAAAGGCAGATGGGAAATAATTAGCATAGCTGATGTTCATAATAATTTCCGTTATAACTCACAAACTCTCCGTAACCCGAACTCTCCGCAACCCAACCATACGCGCCGACCCGTTTGTCTAAAAGGCTGTCGAGCCCCACTGGTGCGTTAAGCAGTTTCAGTGGCAAACGGTTCCGTATGGCATAACAGAGGACTAGAAGGTAAGCATTATGTGAATGCTTGACTAAAGAGATGCGTCTTTAATCTAGTTTTGAACTGTGTCAGCGAGTCAGAGGCTCGGACCGTATCGGGAAGGCCATTCCAGAGTTTTGGAGCTAAATGCGAGAACGCCCTCCCTCCTTTACTGGACTTCGATATCCTAGGAATGACCAGAAGCCTTGAATTTAGTGATCTTAAGGAACGCGGTGGATTGTAGGGCGAAAGAAGGTCCGTTAAGTACATAGGTGCTAAACCATTTAGGGCTTTATAGGTCAGTAGTAGTATTTTGTAGTTGATGCGGAACTTAATAGGTAACCAGTGTAGAGATGATAAAATCGGTGTTATATGATCATATTTTCTTGACCTAGTAAGAACTCTAGCAGCTGCATTTTGTACTAACTGTAGCTTGTTTATTGAGGATGCAGGACAACCGGCTAATAAGCATTACAGTAATCTAGTCTCGAGTCATGAATGCGTGAACTAATTTTTCTGCATCAGAGATAGATAGCATGTTACGTAGCTTAGCAATGTTTCTAAGGTGGAAAAAGGCTGTTCTTGTAACATATGAAATATGATTTTCGAACGACAAGTTGCGGTCTAGTATAACACCCAGGTCTTTTACTGTAGTGGATAAAGTAACAGGACATCCGTCTATATTAAAGTTGTATTGTGAGAGGTTTTGTGAGTAGTTTTTTGGACCAATAAGTAATACCTCCGTTTTATCTGAATTTAATAGCAGGAAATTACGCGTCATCCAGCATTTTATATCTTTGAGACACTCTGTCATTTTAGATGAGTTAGTGTTTTCATCTGGTCGTGATGAAATATATAATTGAGTGTCGTCAGCGTAACAGTGGAAATTAATTCCATGTTTTCTTATAATATTACCAAGTGGCAGCATATATATTGAGAATAGCAGAGGGCCTAAAAACTGATCCTTGCGGTACTCCATAGTCTACTGACGTTATCTTTGATTTTTTCCCATTTAAACAGACAAAATGAGAACGGTCCGATAAGTACGATCTAAACCAGCTTAATGCCTGTCCCTGACACCGGTGAAGTTTTGTAGTCGATCCAAGAGTATTATATGATCTATAGTGTCGAACGCAGCGCTAAGATCAAGTAGGACTAGTATTGAGATACAGCCTTGGTCAGAAGCTAAAAGTAAATCATTTGTAATTTTAACTAGCGCAGTTTCTGTACTATGATGCGGTCTGAATCCTGACTGGAATTTTTCATAGATATCATTTTCTTGCAAAAAAGAGCACAATTGAGCGGACACTACTTTTTCAAGTATTTTGGACATAAATGGAAGATTTGAAATGGGTCTGTAATTTGCCAAGTTATTTGGATCTAATTGCGGTTTCTTAATGAGCGGTTTTATTACAGCCAGCTTGTATATTTTTGGGACATGACCTAAAGATAAAGACGAGTTAATAATATTGAGGAGAGGCTCTTCCACTACAGGTAATAGTTCTTTCAGTAGTTTAGTGGGTATTGGATCTAATAAACAAGTTGTTGGTTTAGATGCAATGATAAGTTTATTTAGCTCCTCCTGTCCTATCGTTGTAAAGCGGTTTAGTTGTTCTAGAGGGTCCATAATTGAAGCTGAATCATAAGACACCATAGCGGATTGTACATTTATAATTTTGTTTCGGATGCTTTCTATTTTCGCATTGAAGTAATTCATAAAATCATTACTACTAAACTGTAAAGGTATATTTTGCTCTGGTGATGTCTGTTTATTTGTTAGTCTAGCCACGGTGTTAAATAAAAACCTTGGATTATTTTGGTTATTTTCGATTAGTTTGCGGAGATGCTCAGCCCTGGCTGTTTTTAGTGTCTTTTTATAACGTGACATACTGTCTTTCCACGCGATTCTAAAGACCTCTAAATTAGTTTGTTTCCATTTACGCTCTAAGTTGCGAGTTTCTCTCTTGATAGCATGCGTAGCACTGTTGTACCACGGTGCTTTAATTTTCTCTCGAACCTTTTTTAATCTAATTGGCGCAACAATATCTAATGTACTAGTAAGAATGGTGCTTAAACTGCTAGTCATTTCCTCTAATTCATCTGTTTGTTTGGGTTCACTTAGCAGCTTAGATAGATCAGGTAAGCTATTTGAAAATCCATCTATAGTGGTTGGAAGGATTGTTCTGCCTGGTCTATAACGTGGCGCAACATGACATATTTCAGCAGTACGTATTATGCAAGTCACCATGTAATGATCAGTGACATCATCGCTTTGCGGTATAATATCTATATCAGTTGGATCGGTTCCATATGATATAATTAAATCTAGTGTATGATTTAGACGATGAGTGGGACCACTGACGTTTTGTTTGACCCCAAAGGAGTTTAATAAATCTGTAAACGCAGCCCCTAAAGCATCATTTGTATTATCTACGTGTATGTTAAAATCTCCAGCAATTATTGCTTTATCGACATTTACCAATAGATCCGAGAGAAAGTCTGCGAACTCTTTTAGGAATTCAGCATATGGCCCTGGAGGTCTATATACAGTAGCCAGGGCTAGAGATAATATAGATTTCCTTCTTACATCTAAGAGCGTAACATTTAGCACAAGTACTTCAAATGAATTAAACCTGTGACCTGTTTTCTGAGTAATATTAAAAATATCTTTATAGATTGTTGCAACACCGCCGCCACGACCGATCAGACGAGGCTCATGTTTATAACAGTATCCTGGCGGAGTAGATTCGTTTAGACCGAAATACTCATTTGGTTTAAGCCAGGTTTCAGTAAGGCACAGAACATCGAAGTTATTGTCTGTGACCATTTCATTTACGATAACCGCCTTAGGTGTGAGCGATCTAATGTTTAGGAGACCTAGCTTTAGAAATTGTTTTTGTTGACTGATATTTAGATTTTCTGGTTTAATTACAATAAGATTTTTGCTAGATCCTACACTAGATTTATTGTTTGGCTTCACTAAACGAGGAATAGACACAGTTTTCTATATAATGTTCCACACTATGCTTATTAGTTAAGTTTGGACCGCAAAGGCTGTAATTTGGACTTTGACTCATTAGTCATCTGGTGCGTAATGTCTTGGAAATGTTGTCCGACAGCACAGCCGCTCCGATTCGGCTGGGATGGAGACCATCTGTGCTGTACAGCCTCGGTCTTTCCCAAAACAGATGCCAGTTATTTACAAAGTGCAGCCCTGTTCATTACACAATGACATTAACCATTCATTTAATGCAAAAAGTCTACTGAACCTTTCCTGTCCTTGTCTGTACGTGGGAAGCGGTCCAGACACGATGATCGCTG